TACATAGAAATACCAATATAACATGTGAATCATATATGGCAATTGGGCATGTGTTGCCTGGGAAATGCCAGGAACATTGAAAGGAACAATTACAATTACAAAAAACCAAAATATTATAAAAGAACAATATTTAAAAAAAAACATTTTCCTTGTCACTCACTAGCTCATCCAAATGGCATTTACATACATACATACATCCACTAAAATCTAAAAACATATATACTAACTTTATAGATAAGTAAAACTGGCGTACTAAATTAATGTACATAGAACCACACATACATATAGCATGCGATACATACATAATACATACATACATACATACATAGCATAAAGCATGCATACATACATACATACATACCATACATATAAGCATGCAATACATACAATACATATTAAGCATTTGCAATGCATACATTTTACATACATACATTATAAGCATAATGCATTAACATACATTACATTACATCATATAAGTCATGCATACATACATACATTTTAACCATATAAGCATGCATAACATACATACATATTAGCATGTTTGCATACATAACATGCTTTAACAGTTATAAGCATTGCCATTACATACATGCTTACATATAGCATGCATACCATACATGGCTTACCATATAAGCATTGCATACATTTACCATGCTACATACATTACATTCATATAGCATTGCATACATACATACATACATACATATAAAGCATGCATACATACATTACATTTACATATAAGCATGCATAACGATGCATACATACATACATATTAAGCATGCATACATGCATACATAACCAAAGAGGGAACAAAAAATAATTCGGGTGCACCTCGTTAAACGGCTGTATCAGGAAACGCCTTTAAACTCGGCCAATGGAGGGAGATTAATCAAGGCTCTGATAGAGAAGAACCACCCCAGAGTTACTCACCAGTATTATACGGAGACTACCTAAGCGAGGCCGAAAGACCATCTACGAAAGGTGAAGGAGAACCCATTGAAATGAATGACCTGTGCGTGTCCACAAGGTTCAAAACTTGGATCTCTGTGGAGAAAGAGAAAGAATGAGAGAGAAAGAGAAAGAATGAGAGAGAAAGAGAAAGAATGAGAGAGAAAGATGGAGAGAAAGAGAACATTCCTCAAAATGACAAAAGTAATACAGAGTACTAGTCTCAGAACATATCAGTCTGCGCTTGTGAAATGATTATGAATAATTTTTGTTTCTAAACAACTGCAATGCCCCCAAAAAATCTGTTACCAAGGTTTCCCTTTTGTTAACACTCTTTTCAAATTTACATTGAGAAAACTCGACTATCGCCATTTAATAAAACAGAATGTCACAAATTTCATTTGCACATTCCGTACAAACCTACAAAAAAACTTGAAATAATACGGTGAAAATATTTCTTCTTGGTGTACATCTTGCACACACCAATACAATTAAAATGATTTGCAAAAAATACTGTTTCTGTACACACCTTAAAATAAAATCCTTTTGCACGATATGGACTTAAAATACAGTATGCCAATGGTAGACATATGTCCATGCCTTCTGGCATGACTCTGCGGCAATAGCCAAACATATGGTCTCCTATTTCATTTGTAATTACTAAGGAATAGCTTTGCTCATCACAATAAGCATTCTCCGCAGAAGATCTTGGAGGCCAATCAGCCGCGTCGGGAAAACATAGGTGTTCTATTAGTGGAGGGACTGAAGCCTGCAAACAAAAAAGTAGAACTATTAATTCAAAGAAATGCAAAAATAATCCTAATTCCAAGTTTTTCTTACTTTCAGCACATATTGCGTACACCAAAATAACATTCTCACAAAGATGCACAAAAGAACTACTCCGGTTTCAGAATACAGAAACACAATACTGACCATAAAATAATCACCGGTAAAAAAAAGTCAAATCAGATTTAATTAGACTGCACACTATAGATGGTCCAAATGGTATAAACACATTTAAGGTGTCTGAACTTTATGTTATTCTGAAGACAATGCTAATTATGTGCAATCTTAATTTTTATTGTAGTCTAACTTTTATTATCCAAGTGATGTTTGACAGAAAGAGCCATACTGGCTCCTCATAGATTTCTTAAATGCCACTTCAAGAAAAATCATATCTGATAAGTACTTTCATTTTGTTTCCTGCTTTGAATTAACATGAACTTTCTTTCCACATTTCCAAACTTCATAAGGAAACGTTAGAAAACAAGATAAGGTCACAACTAATGATACAGCATTATTTTCTTTTTAGTTTTTAAGAATAAATCCCAATGTATGGAATCAATGTCACAACACATTGATGTAAATTCATCAATGAAGGTAAAATTCATTCTATTTCATTTACATAAACTAATTTCTCAACACTCAAATTTGTTAAAACGAAAACAAGAGAGAGAGTTTAAATTAACTTACGTTCACAGGATATTTAGACTTTATATAAGGAACTTTAGTTTTTTTATCGCCATCCAAATTAAGTCCAATAAGCATAATGCAATGGAACAGATGTGAGAACGGTTGGGAAGAAAGTCGCTGTCGAGTGTTGAACACACGACTAGACACCCGTCTCACATAGACTTTTCTCTCCTCAGTCAATTTAGTCAGATCTTGACGTCTTCCCAGAGAATTTTCTCCAAGTGTGTCCCTTTGTTGACATGACGCTGTAACTTTTCCTGGCAAATAATGTGACTTTAAGAAAGACATAACAATTAACAATAAAGGAACAAAAAAATTCATGAAAAATAGGAATTTACAATCTTTTACTGAATTACAAACAAAAATAAAACAATGAATGAAGCCACCAATGTCACTAAGTCTAAATGTTGGACCTACGCTATATTTACAACTGGTTTTCACTTTACTCTTAAATGAAATTCCAAGTAAAATTTCATTAGTTAAAAGGCCAAAATTAAAGCCTTTAATTGGCCAAAGTTAAAGCCTTTATTGCAAAAACTTATTGAATGGTTTAAGTCAGGGGTGTCCAACAGGCAAGGCCTCAAGAGCCACAACTAAAACCTTTCATATGGTTGCCGGCCATATTTTCATTAACTAGAGGGGGAGGGAAAGACCACGGCCATGTATCAGGCCATCCCCTGCATAATGCAGTGAAATACATTGGGGTGATTTTGAGTTTCTGAATTTACTAGAAAAAGTTCATAGATATAAATAAATGGCACTGTGGGCCACATGAGGCTCGCCAGTTGGACAACCCTGGTTTAGGCCATCACTCTTACAATGGGTTTAACGCATTAGTGTTGTTGATCAACAGACCAAGACAGAGACATAAATACATTGTATTGAAGAAAAAAACAAAAACAACAATATTTTTTCGGTATCATGGAACCCCAATTTCCATTAAAATTCCACAATCTATTTTCCATAGTAGTAGTCATAACTGGATTTTAGTTGATTTAATTTTTCTCTTAATATTTTTAATTTTTTTCTAAAATTATTTTCATAAATTAATTTATTAATTAATTTTTTCCTCAAACATGTAGGGGTGTTTTCAATTATTTTTTGCAAGATAAATAGTATTTGTCTTTGAATTATTTATTGTGTGTGTTCCATTAATAACAGTATTGAGAGAGATATTTCTCAGAAGATGTAAGTTGTCACTTCATTAAATCTACTGATGTTAAATACCTTTGTAAAATGTTTAATGATTTAAAAAATTCTTATTCTTTTTTATTAAAAGGAAGAACTTTTTCAATTTTGTGAAGTTAAGTTTTGATGTGTATGAACGTGCATTGAAAATATATTTTGACAACATACTTCACATAAATCAAAAATTATGTTCAGGTCATAGAAAAATATTCTTCCATTGAAAAAAAAAAAAAAATTAAGAAAGAAGATTTAATTAAAAGTTTCTTTTAATGAATTAATCTTTTAACGAGTTTATTACTTACTTATGAAATAAGAATCATATAACATCTTAATAGGATAAGAGATAGAAAGTTATCAAAATTACACAGTTAGGTCAGGTTTGTTAACCAATCAAATGATGTTATATAAGATGTGACAATACAAGTATTGTTAATTTTGAAAATTTCCTATGTATAATTTGCATTTCAAAATAAAACTGTTTACTCCTCATCCTGGCAAACTTCGCAGACTGGATTTTGAGCTAGTTAATAGTAGATCATGGACTTTTTAGGACATTGTTCTCAAAGTATGTGTGTGTGCGTGCGTTTTTAAGGACTGATTGTTGCTTTTTATACTTCAGAAATTCACTTGGAAGTTATTAATTAACTATGTGTATTTTGCCAATAAGTAGTCAGAGAATGTTTAGTAACTTGAATCTTTTTCCTCAAAGAAACCTCTTAACACAGTGTGAATATTTAATGTATAATCAGTAGAACCCAAAACATAAAATAGTAAGTAGTGATTAATGGTGGTCTTGTGTTAATTTCACACAGTTAACATGTCAATGAAGCATTGTTTTACCTGTCTTGAATTGTTGAACAAATGAATTACTGTTTTTAATTATTGCCACAATTACACAATTAACTAACCAAATCTGTCTGTCAAGGATCAATAACTGAATGAGTGAAAATCAAAACAGTATAAATGATATTTTATAAATTCAGAGAGAAACTATGTTTATAGTAGGCTATTTCAGTGACAATGTAAATTCATCATTTAATAAACAATTAAAATGCTGTGGTTTTAAGGATGAAACAAAGTAACACGATTTTACAGTGATATGGAATTAAACAGTTTTCTCAGAATTTATAAAATGTCACAGTACACTGTTCTGATTTTCACCCATTAAATAGATCATTAGTAATAATGATAAATCAATAGAAATAATAAATATCAATTATTCTAATTGCAAAACATTATACAGCACACAATTAGAAATTTCTAAACATACAATATCAAAAAACTACAAACAGAATTCCGATAGTTTTCACAAGACTAGGGTAAAGGAGGGGAGGTAGCAGTATATTTGTCATTCAGATCTTGAGAAAAATATAAAATTCAATTAAAGTTTGCTTTTAATGCTGAAAAACTAATGTTGTGTTCTTCAGAGTCTTATCAGCTTTTTTCCTCATCCAATGCATAAATGCAATAATGGACTTCATATTGTAATTCAGGTGTTATAACAGTGCAGCCTAACATTTTTATGAATTCACTCAGTCACACATATTACAATCAACATCTTGTGAAAACTATTTCTAACCTTCACATCTTGAAAATACATTCAATTACAAAATCCAACCAGCTGATACTCAGCTGACCAGCGGAAGAATATTTAGCGGCGAGCGTTGCGGTCTTCGGTGATGCTCATTTGGTTTGGTACAGAAGCTGTCATTAAAATCGTTTACTGCCCTGAATGCTCTGTACTTTACTAGTTTCAGGATGGAAATATCAATATAATAAGTGTCCTAAAATAGACAATTCTGCATAAAACAGAAACCTCCCTAAACCGGAATATTTTTTTGTTCTGATTGACTCTGGCTTACACAGATTTTACTGTATTAAGTTGTAACACTATAAATGAGTATGTGAAAGTAGAATGTAGTTTGTGAAGTAAAGCAACTTTTCTTTCCAGCTTGTATGTTACAGCTAGGTAAATAACAATTAAAATTTACCCAACTATATCTTTCTTGCAAAGAGTTAAAACTTTGAAGAACCACCTGCCTACAAGACTATGAAGTGTCTCATTTGATAAGTTATAAAACCAAGGTTTTGAAAAAATATGAAATTCAATTAAAGTTTGCTTTTAAAGCTGAAAAACTAATGTGTTCTTGTTTCTTATCTGCTTTTCCCTCATCCAATGCATAAATGCAATAATTGACTTTGTGGTCCATTATAAAGTAATTCAGGAGTTAAAAAAGTCTGCCTAACATTTTTATCAAATGTGACCAATCTTACAAGAAAATTCTTATATCTAAATAGAAATTCATTAATATCTGAAATAAATTTTAAAAAATGTTGCATTAACAATGATACTGATTAACTCTGCATTTCAATGTTACAACTCAATTTGCTGTAACAATAACAATCCAAAGTGTGAAGCACCAATGTACAGCAATATCACATATCACAATAGCACCATGTAATTCAATGATGTTTCTCAATGTAATAACTCTCATTTGATACAAAAATGTATTACTAAGTGTCATTGTCTGTAAGACTATTCAGAAAAAGTAATTCATCTTTGTCTCAGTCTAATGTAACTTTTATAAGAAAAAATTAATCCACTTAGCATGAAATACTCTGGCTTTACAGGAAGAATTTGGATATTAGGCCAAAGCCTAATATCTGAGCTAGCAGACCAGAGAAAAACATTTTTGGGGGCTTGTAGTTTTAATGTGGCATACAATAGATGGGCTGCATTTGCTGATACATAATCTTATATTAGTAATAAATACCATCATCTGTCTTTCTTGATCCTCCTGCTTCGTTCTGAATGTCAGGGGGATTCATTTCATCAGGTGTTGTTGGAGCAGATTCATCAGATGAGGCAGAATCCAGTGATGCCACTGGGGAATCATGTAACGGTGTGCCAAAGGCCTGGTTTATGAATAGCTGCACCTACACAATAATCACCAGGCGGTATTCATGTCTCATCTCATTATATGTTTGTACCAAATCACTTGGCACAGCAAGAACATGAATAAAACATAATCGCATAACATATACCCAAAAGATATGCATTATCACAAACATAATTTAGAAACGTAAATGCATAGTAAACCCTACTTCTATTTAATATCCATACTTCCCCCATTCCAAACATTAGCAAACCAAGTAGCCACAACCAAATTACTGATACACACTCACACATACATATACATTCATGACAAGCACTCAACCAGAGCTTCAATTCTTTGTAACTTAAAATTTCCATGCTTAAATTTGAAAATATAACACTTGAATAGATTTTACAACCATGAACCATATACTCAAAGATGCAGATTTCAACATTCTCTGCAAAGCACATGCGTCCCCGGAGCCTCTTCCAGTCAACATGCCACAATGTCAAGGGTAAAGATAATAAAACAACCCAAACTAAAAGCAAATACCCAATAAAAAGAAAAAACATACAAAATTTAAACAGTTTAGCTTCAAAAGTTCATTCAACAGTGATCATGACTTCAAGTCCTTACCTTGTTTCTATCCAATTTGTGAAGGGGCACATTTGTTGAATTGGACTGATGACTTTTTGATACAGGATTGAAATGCAAAAATGACTTTAGAGGCAAGTGCATCTCGTCACTTTTGAACTCATTATCGCTACCATTAATTTTGTTCTTGTTTTCACATAATGTAACTTGTGAATTACTACTGTCGTTACTATTACCCACAGTATTAACATTGTTGCAATTTACGAGAGCATCCATACGATCCAAAGGGTTAATAGGAGAACACTGTGAAGAAATAAAGACAAACAAAAAAAAAAAAAATGAGAACTAAAAATTGCTACAAAGGATAAAGGAGAGGAATGCACTTCTTAAAAACCCATTTTACTTCTATATTATATTTTGATTCCACTATTTTTAATACTCCAACAAAATGCAACAAGAAAATAGAAAAATTTACTTCAAGAATCATTTATCCAGTTTCATCATTAAACGATCTGATGTTTCTTCTAGAAAACTATTCAAAAGCACATTTCAAACACAATTCTAAGAGTTCAAATGAATTGTAAATTCCCAAATACTTTGCAGCTTTAGATTACCGTAATTGTATCTTCGTTAATGGTATATATAATAGAAGCAATGATTTGTAAAAGCTTACCATATAATGAAGAGTTGAATGGTTTTGTTCAGGAGCATTTTGAACCTGCGTATTATGCATAGCTACTTCCTGCTTAGTTTGCACAGATAGTTCAGCTTTTAGAATTGCCTCCACATCTATACATGCGTATGGCTCAGCATATATATGTTCTCCACTGACAGCATTACTAGCCGAGGTCTTTCTTTTCTGATCACTTACAATCTTAATTTCAGAACTAGCACTTATCTTCTTTCTCGGGTATAAAGGAGACTCCACAAAGAACTCACTTTGAGATTCATTTAGTTTCTCATATAAATGTTTGGGAACGTTGGACACACAATTCAAAGAATCAAAACATCCACTAGATAATTTTTCTACATACTGCGGATTTTGTTTATCTTCTTTTGAATAGCGACTAGCGTCAGCAAGTTCAGACTCTGCAAAATTGTTCGTTGCACGTTTGACAAAATCTTCTCTTTTCTCATCCCCTTTTGGACTCTTCAGTCTTTCAGTCATTGTTTCAGTTCCCCCAGTTCTTGGTGTAATGACAACACTACCAATCCCTTGCTGATGTTTTAGTAAAACATTTTCTAACTTTTTGAGCATAATACGAGGTTCTGTGGTAGCCCTCTCCAGAGATTTTTTTCTGTTTTCCAACCCTTTTGAATAACTGGTGAGATCTGTTTTAGATTTCTCGGGCGCTAACCTGGTACACACAGGCTTACCTCGCACATCTGGAGAATTGTGAACAAAAGTTCGAGGTGGCTTTTTAGGTGGAGGTCCTGGAGGCAAGGGAGCCTTCAGTGCTGCTCTTAAACTAAAGGTCAGCTTACTATTATGTTCACTACGCACTTCATCATTTGCATTTTGTTTTTCTTTATTTCCATTCTTCGAAATATTTGCTTCACTCTGTGGTAATGTATTTTCTTTCCTTTGGGTAGAGCTATCATCTAATTGCTGCATTAATTGTTTTTTTTTCGAACCATTTAAGGCTACATTTCTAGACTCCTTTGTGTCACTTTTTAATCTCTCCCTAATGCCAGTTCTTTCGGCTGATGATAATTTCTTCAACACACAATCTATATTATCTAACCCCTTAACATTACCCAACAAATTTTCATTTACATTACTTTTACAATTAACATTTACAATTTTGGGAGGGAGCTTGAAAGCATTTGACTCATCTTTTTTCCCAAGAAAAATTCCATTTTTTGTAACATTTTCTTCAGGAGACAATGATCTCTCCATATTACATTGGTGTCTGTCTTCAAACAACTTCACTGTGTTCACAACAGTACGCATTTTCTTATCTGGATTGGAGGTTTGGTGTGACAGACTCGGTTTATCACATCGAAATGCAGGGGTTCGACGAATATTTCCCTTCCCAGATTGAGAACATGTTTTAAGTTTATCATTAGGTTTTTCAAAACTTGCATTTTCTGGACAAAAAGCCTTCACCATACCAAGAGGAGAGGACAGTGTTAACTGTGCAGCATTGCGGCATTTTGACTGAAGGTTTTTATCAATATCAGTGCACGATACTTTTGTATTACTAATAGACTGATGAGATTTTGCTGGTTCAACAATTTCAAACTTTTTCTTAATGCTTTCTATTCTATTTCTAAGCTCTGGTGGAGGCTTATAAGCCATCATAAATATAGCATACACGGCATATTCTATATTCAATTCACAAGTCCTACTTTACGAACAAAATAGCACAATACTAGTGTGTATATAAAAATCTGCATGCCACTCTCATCTGTTGATTAACAGCATCATTTTAAAATAAAAAGGTGACATTGCCTGAAAAAAAGAAGTGATAGCATTTTACAAACATTTACATGCGTAGAGGAATGGACATAATTATGCATGTTGAGAATCCTTTGCATTGCACATACACCTTTCATATCACAACACAAATGTCACGCCTCTTTCAGGAACAAGTTGAAATACTTACCGTCCGACGTCACTAACGAATCGTATTCGCTAACCATACAATGCGCTGTCTATAGCTTCTCATACGTTGCATGTCGGAACAGCGGTAGCACACTTGTAAAGACGCGTCCAGGACACGAACGACCACGACCGACGACTAACGTTTTGTCACTCTACGTCACTATCACAATCCGCCTACAATAAAGGATTCCCCTCACCCTAATTAGTGGAACGAATGCCACTAGCCATGTTCGGAAGATTTTGGTTGGATTTATTCAGTACAAAAGTGTAGCCAACGTAACGTGAAACATAAATTCCACATTACAAAGCGTATAATAATAACAAGTCTACGAGAAAAGTCGATTGAGTTTCAGTGGTTTAATTACCATTGCCAAGGATAATAATCCAATCTTTAAACATATTCAATTGGGATACTTTTTTCTTATGACAGATTGTAATATTGATGTAATGATGCGTTCGCGCCAGGTACAAATAATAAATTTATTTATAAACACAATGCGATTCTCTCTACTCTCTCTCCCTCGTCTGTCTCTTACTCGCATTTTTAAGCGAAATTGAGTTATTTGGTTGTTTTCTTGTACATTTTACCCCCATGTATTGAATGCAATGCAACCATGATATGGGTTCAAAATCTAACAGATCGTATAAAAATACAGCAACGTCAGATAACGGACTGTAAGTTGTAAACTATATTATAAGTTGAAAAATCCGTCGATATGTTTTGACACTGTTAATATTACTCGCGCAACTTTTCTTGGACGATGGATTGAAGAAATGCGGGTACAGTGGGGGTATTAGTTTAGTAATCAGCCACTAGATTTTATGAAGCAATGCCAATCTCTGGAGAAGCAGTCATGCCTACGCAACTTTCTCAATAATTTGCGTTCTAATTTTCTCAGGAGTTCGAGGTATCTCCTGTGATCAATCTTCACCTGCTTCGGTCATTTCTTTAGATGTTTTGAAGAAAAATACGCACAGAAGTTCTCGTCTTCAACAAAAAATAGTTTATATTTTGTGCCAGTGAGGATGTGTTTGGAATGTTATTAGTGCTCGCTGCGAGCTTTTGTCTTCAACTGTTTATTGTGCCAGAGAGGGGGAAGCAAGGTCATCGTTCAACAAAAGTTGCCCTAGCAATATCAACGCCAACGAAATCCATGTTTTAGTAGCGCTCCGGAGTAGCGCGAGCTACGAGAATCAGTAGCCGAAAATAGCATCTGTTCATGCATGAGAATGCTACTGCTATAACACCAATTATTTTTTTAAAAAAGCAAATAGAGGAAATAATTTATAAGGTCTCCAAACTTTGCGAAAGCACTTATTGAAGGGGAGTAGTAATAAGAAACTAAAGATCTCTTTCCTCGAACGGGAGCATCTCCAATCCCCCGCTTCCCAAACTTTGCAATTTTATCATTTTTCCAACTTTATGCACAACGGCCCATTTTCGTTCAAAGAATAATGTTATTAACTTACAACTTACAAAAAAACTCGAGGATTGAACCTAGTGCCGCCACTAGGAATGGGCGATCACCCGGCGTCCCGCAACTCAAGGAGCCCGATGACTGGACCGAGGGGAAAAATTAGAACAAAATTAAAAATAAATTACAACTCGAGAAAATCGTTATCGTAAGTCGTAGTACAGTAGCCTGATATATCATTAAATCTTTATTTGATTTATCTAAAATAGCTCATTACAGTCGTTACATATAAGAGAGCTCTCTTATATGTATCTATGATACATATGTATCTATGATACTTATATGTATCTATGATACATATAAGTATCTATGTATCTATTTATATATTTATCCATGAAGATCTATACACTAGTGTATAGATCGTCATGGAGAATATTTTGAAAAACAATAGTGAGTTTCGATGATTAATATTTGTTTTTGTTCTCTAATCCTGAAATATAAAAGGCAACCCTCGTACTTCTGTTTGCGATGAATTTCGCAGCAGGTTTTTATAAATTACTCCTCAGAATTCCTGGAGAGGTATGTTATATATAATTTTATCATCTGGTCCCTTAAAAATTCACTGCGTATTGAATAAAAGAAAAACGATGAAACGCTTTCGAAACTGTTATCTTCGACGAAAGGCAACTCAGGAGTGAGCAGCTAGAATTTTCGTAATTATTTTTATGTCAATTGCATATATTCTAATTACTGTATTGATATTATCTTCCTAGCGAGTGCACATAGTTTTGACAACGTTGCTCTGGCAACATTTTTAAGGCAACAATGTGTTCCTCTTTTCTGTATAATTTGCTGGTATTTTGAGTCAATCAAATGTATTCCTGTTTGTTTTATTTGTCAACGTAAGAAATGATTGCTGCTCCTGACTATCAAAATGAATGTAGATATGCACCACAGGCGCTTTGTTTGAATTTGACGTTATCAGTTAATTGTAGCTGAGATTTTAGTAGCGCACACACTACTTCACTATTACGTTGCTGTTTCCAATAACGCGAAATAGTATTTGCTGTTATACCACCACTAGTTGTATTTAAGGCCTGTACGTTTACTTCCGTTTGATAACTTAATTCACAGGCATACTTATTCTTCTTGCTTGGATCGTCTGCACCTGACTACTATGAAAGATATTTAAAAGACTACTCAAGTAGTCTAATCAATTTTTGCAAGACGTTAGAACGTGTTATTAAGCTGCTAGGTTCATGCAGTGCCGGATCTAGACAATTTTGGGCCCGGGGCTATGCTAAAACGTAGGTCCCTTCACGAAAAATAAAAAATAAAAATGTGAAAGTTGTATCAAGAAACTGTATGAGTTATTTTATTTATTTCAACAAATAAAAATTACAACGTTTAAGCTAGAAAAAGTGATTGGAAATATATTTTCAATAATTCGAAGTATTTAATGATCAAATTATACAATTTCCATGGTGAACTTAAAACGTAAAAAAAATTGTTGTGTTCAGTTACTGTTTAATAAAATAACTCGTTAATTACATGAAATAATAAATGTGGATTTCAGTAAAACCTCGTTGAATGTTAGCGTCATTTGATTAATTGCATGCGTTTGAACCAATTGTCGAAGCACTTGTCGAGGTACTCTGATTGAGGTATCTCCAAAACATGCATTCTGAATGCAGCAACCGCTTCTTCAGGTGTCGAAAAACGTTGACCTCTCAGTTTGTTTTTTACGTTCGGGAATAAAAAGAAGACATTCGGTGCCAAATCAGGACTATACGGCAGATGTCTCATCAAATCGATGTTTTGGGTGCTCATAAATGCAGTTGTTTGAGCCAATGTGTGAGAACTCGCATTGTCGTGGTGAAGAGTGATCTGTCTTTGGCGGTTGATTTTCCTGATGTCTTGGAAGACAGCTGGCAAACAAATCGTTGTGTACCACTCAGAATTGACTGTTCTGCGCTGTTCTAGTGGTACGGTTGCGAAATGTCCAGTTTTTTCGAAAAAACAAAAAAATGACAAAAAAACAGGCGACCATCTGTTTGGAAGTGCTTTGGGCGCAAACAACTTTTGTTGGAATTTGCTCATCTTGAAACACCCATACAGTCGACTGCTGTTTACTTTCGGGCTCATACGCGTAAATCCACTATTCATCACCTGTCACAATGTCATAGACGTGTTTCCAAGCACCGCGATCGTATTTTTTGAGCATTTCTTTCGACCACTCGACACGAGCCTTTTTTTGAGCGATTAACAAATTGTGTGGGATCCAACGCGAACAAATTGTTTTGACAGTCAAATGTTCATGCAATATTGAATGTATGCTGCTTCCACTAATGCCTAAGGTTGTCTATATCTCACGATAGGTCACATGACGATCTTGCAATATCAGTTCACGCACAGTATCAATGGTTTTCGGAACAACAACTGATTTGGACGACCTTCGCGAAATTCGTCTTGGAGTGAACTACAACCACAATTGAATTCACCATACAATCGATAAACACTGGTCCTTGATGGAGCTTCATCGCCAAAAATTGAATTAAGTTCATCCATGCAGTTTTGTTGAGTTAATCCATGTCGTAAGTTGTAAAAAATAATCGCACGAAAATGTTCACGATTTAATTCCATTTTTGAGCCAAGATGAAACTTTTAAGTTACTGTAAACAACACAAATAGCGCTCGTATGTCAAAACGTTTTGAGTATGTATAACCTCAAAACATCCAACTTTACGATGGAGCTGTCAGTTGCCAGATTGCAACACCAGGGTTGCCAAATCCCGAAACATAAAAGGCAACATTCGTATGACAGTGACGGTCTAGGAGTTACACCACCACCCCCACGACTTCATAAAACACCTATATCTTATCACCTCCAACATCTCGACGTTGGAATTAGCTTCCAAATTCTCGACGCCGCATTCTTGCAAAATTTCTATTACGCTTTGCAGATTACTTTAAAAAAAAGACATCAATACATTGGGATTACAAATTGAGTAAAAGTAAAAAAGCGAGAAAGGAAAAAATTAGCAATATCAATAGTAAATTATAATACAAATTAATTTTTTTTCATATCATTCGTTCAATTTTTTTGTGACCCGTAATTGCTGTGAAACCTGTATATATTTCATTAATTTCACGCAAAATTTACACATAAACTTGTTTTTTCTAAAAAATTGTACATGAACTTTTTTAAAGAGCTAATTTTGGACATCAGCTTTAGTCTGAGACAAACATCTCTATTACCAATTTTGAGATATAGAAATTAATTTTCCAATTTTCAAAAAATAGGATATGTAAACGAAAATGCGATATTCTCTTAAATGTCTTTTGCACTATTCAACAACAAAATTTAATCAAAAAATTTGAAGCCATTTTTTTGAAAATTTTGAAAATGTCCCAGTGGCTACATGTAAAGTACCCCAAAAACTAAAATAAATTCGGTTTCTAACCCCAAGGGCCGCGACATCACCTAGAACGATTTGGGAATATCAATTTTGGGGGAAATCGGCTGAATGGTTTATGCGCTAGCGATGTGCGCAGATAGACGGGCGAACAGACACACATTTTCCCTTAATCGATTTTTCGGTATGAAGGACGCACAAAATGGATTCTGGCTACCCCACGTGTTAGATGATTTTTTTTCTAAATTTAGAAACTGGATTTCCTTACCATGGCCCGGCAATAAGAGTTTTTGTGTCGCAAATTCCCTGTTTTCCAGTGCACAGTTACAATACTCTCTTCATACGTTAGTAAGTGCGAGAAAGTAAAAATTTCAAAGAGCCCACGATGTTTGCTAAGAGAACACCATTATTAAGCAAAGCTCACAACAAACAAAATTTCAAGCATATAATTATGCATATAAAAGTATTTATGAACTAGTGGT